ATCCCCTATTCCAAAAAAACCGCTAATAATTACTAATTATGAGAAAGTTATGAAATTACTAAATTGCGACAAAAAACAAATTTCGATACGATTTTCAAAACCAGTCTTATTTAAAGATATTCTCAAAAACAAATTTCACAAATTATGGTCTTGTAAAAACGATGACCAAACTACATCGACGGGAATAAGAATAAGAATCGTCATCCGTTCACAAAACAGAAAAGTGAATACGGCAAAATGCAAAACGAGGGTTGGTTATCAATCCCATTTGTTTCACTTATTGCGGGCTGCAGTGTTTTCGGTGTTTTTCTTATGCCCGTTATCTAACGGTGCATACAATGAACTTTCTAAAGTCTTGCAACAAAATGCATTGCAAAATTGTTCAGCGAAGAACAATAAAATTGTAGATGTATGTAGGTCGTGCGCCGTCCGCCGTGTTGGGAGAGCCAAGTAAAATTTATTTATTTTTAAATTCATTTCAAAACTTAATATGACATGTTAGGAAGAATGTACAAACAAAGTGGTCCAAACTCGAGGGGCCTCTATGGCTTTAAGCATTTGCAGCGTAGTTAGTTAAAAACTAAAAGTCGAAGTCGAAAACTAAAAACCGCATCATGATATGTGACAACGTTTCTGAGCTACATGGTGATTCTTAAAAATTTGCGTTTCTAAAGATAGAAATTTTTATTAAAAACATTTTTTGAAGATTTTTTAACGGAAAATCTACCGGTTTCACCGATTTTGTTTTAAAACCTTTAGTTCACGAGAGTTACATTTTTTTAAATGGAATACCCCAATTTTTTGAAAAAAAAAGTTTTCTAATAAAATTTTCTGTCAAACGTCAAAGTAGTTAAAAAGATATCTGCAATTTTTAATAATTACCATAGTAGGCTGTGCTTAACACTGACCTATACAGTTTTAAGGTAGCTATGATCATATAAAAATGTTTGAAAACTTTGAAAAGTACATGATAAAATGTTATATTGAAAGTAACGAAAATCGACAGACGGCGTTAAATCTATATTTCTAGAGATATCCGGAAAGAAGGCAACCTAGCTCAAAAATATTTTTGAAGTTAAAACGTCATTTACAAGAATACGGATCCTTTACAAAATGCGCGGCCTAGGACGTATAGAAGCCTAGTCAGAGATAGAGAGTTGGAAGAACGGTTCTGGGGGAAATAGCGTTAAGAGAAGATGTAGGATATGTTTACAAGAAAACGGCTGTCAATTTGAGCATTTGTTTTAGAATTAAATAAACTTAGATGTAGATTTTAAGTGTTACATAGTTTAATTAATAAACATTAAAAAGAAATGCTTTTAATAATTTTATTTTCGTTTATTATTATAGGGTTGGTAATTATTGTAAACTAGAAGTTAAAGTGCAAGGTTGCTGTGTTCCCGCGTGTCGTAGCCAACTTGATTTTGTATGAAAAAAAAAAACAATAAAATTTTATCTACACATTTATGGCGTATAAAGCGCCTACTATGGTAAATATCAAAAATATCAAAATTGTATGGCACATCGTTCGACAGCAATTTTTTATTAGAAAATTGTTTTTTTTAGAAAAATTGGCGGCATCCAATTTAAAGAAATATAACTTTGTGTGATATCTCGGGAACTAAAGGCTCTAAGACAAAAAGGGTAAAATAGAGAGATTCCCGCTTAAAAAAACTTAAAAAAATGTTTTTTCCCAAAACCTATTCTTACAATTAAAAAAGTTATAGAGGGCCTTTAAAATCGCACATTTTTGAGAGTCACCCTGTAGGTAAGTTTTTGACTTCTTTCGAAAATCGAGCCCGTAACAGGCATATGAGTTTTGGGCTAACTATGCCGCAAATGCCTAAAGCCATAGAGGCTCCTCGAATTTGAACCACCTTGTACAGTTTGACCAGTTGAGGATAGTGAGCGGTCATATCTAGAAAGATATTTTTCCACTCTCTTTCCTAAAATACCAAATCGTCGGACATCGGACATGTCCGACATATTAACCACGGGTTTGGAAGCAACCGGATGCTTTCGGAAATTTTACCCATGGCTTGAATTTTGATATTTGTCAATACTGACTGTCATGTTCGCACGTCAGTGACTGTATTCGTGTTATTTTTCGAAAATATTTCCAAAACTAACGGTTGGAGAAAAATGTAGTATGCAGCACGTTTGATAAACAGATTTGGGCAAAAAATTCATAATAAAAGTGACTTATATTAAATAACTGATACAAATAATAATCATTGAGAAATAGTATTATGTGAAGTATAATGATTTTGAGGACAATGATAAGATACAAAAATCATCCCACATCAGACATCTTCGGTATTCTTTTTCTTTTTCTGATTAAGTTTTTTGTTTTTTTTTTTTAATTTTATAAGACAGAATTTGTGAAGCATTTTACAGAGCACAAAACAACCTTTTGCCAAATTTCATTGAGCAAAACCTTTAAAAATAAATTTGAACCTCTCCCCATCACCTTATTTGAAAAGCAAGTGTAAAAAGTATCTGAACAAAATTTGGCTTGCATTACTTAATTACCTACAACTTGAAAGTAATTTTCAGCGATTCGTCTTGGTCACTTTTATTATGAATTTTTTTTGCAAAATCATTTAAAAATTAAAAATGTTTATAATAATATGTTTATTTCCAAACTCCTAAGTACTTCCACTAAGCCTTAGTTGTTTCGCCGCTAACAAAAACAAACAAAAACAGAAATTAAGTTTTTAAAATCTGTTAATTGGCATGGTTCGTTTATAGAACACAACTTTTTAAGGGCGCTCCAAGATATTTTCACGTCATCGTTATACTCGTTCGCTGCTAAAATCGAAAATTAATATCTCAACTTTCAATTTGGCCCATTTAATGGTTTAAGAGTTAGTTATACTCAAGCAAGTTATACCCTGTATACACTCGTTTCTATAATATACACCTGCAACTAGTCGCTTTATTAATCGCAAATTAAAATAATAATGAAACATAAATGGAAATAGTACAGTTTTTGTTACATTCTAGTTATTTATAATGAAACTTTCTATAATTCCAGTGGCGTTAAACCACTGCATTTACATGTCGTTTTTATATTACCTTCGAAGTATCGATTTAAACCGACTTTTTGTTTAGCTACTGGCTTACTTTAAGTCGTTTATATCGAAGAATTGGTTAAATGTCTCCTCTATTAGGCAAAAAAGATTTTCCTCTATAAAATAATTTTGCAAATAAAGTTAGACAGCATCGATGAAATAATTTAATAATAGTATATTATCCATCAAGTCTTAGCCGCAAGTTTGTGCATGAACAAATTTTAAAGGCATTGCTCACTATACTTTTTTTTTTACTTTCCCACAAAAAAATCTGAGCTTGAGTAAAATACCGGAGACGCTCGAAATGGCTTGCAACAATGTTTAATGAAGCTGACGTTTTAAAGTGATACCTTGCGCGTGTCTAATAAGTGTATAATTGGGTATTATATTTTTTTTTTAGAAATCTGCGAAAATCTTACATGTTATTTGCAATGTTACTATTATTCTCTTTGTGTTGTATACAGGGATATTGTTATTTTTATTAGTATTTGGTGTTCCTTTTAAAAAGGATATGCTTAAGAAAAAGGTGATTAGAAACATTTCACTGTACAACTAATTTTACGCCAATAAATATCTCATCCAGTGCGTATAAAACGCCCCAACCACAGTTTCCTCGGGAATTGCGATGATTCAAGAAAACAGACCAAATAATTATTTGAATCGTACACAGTCATTGCCATGAAAAGAATATGAGACTATCTTAAAGAAAAAGTTATGGGTTTTCCCATTTTTTTAGTAACGCGGAGTTTTTATTCGTTTTTTTTTATAATATAGAATAGTTTCAAATAAATTGTATTATTTCTTGTACCATAATAATAATAAAGAAACTTTTTGAAAAACAGGATAAGAGGATTTTTTTTAAGTTGAAACGGAATTATTGTATTAAATTATTAAAGTTCCTGATCCAAAGCGCTATAATGGAAATAATATACATCGAGTAGTTGGTTTTAGTCAGTAAAAGAAAGTAATCCTCCAGTCAGCTGATAAATTAAAATTTCCTGGCCTCAAAATTGTATGTGCTTCACTCCATTCTGTAAAATACCTCACACCGATCTAGTGTACGGAAAGTGTCATTTTACCATGTTACTTCTGTTTCCCATGGATCCGAGCCACTTCGGACATTTCCGGAATATATTACCGAACGGGTTTGGGAGCAATCGGAAGTTTTCGGGGATTTTACAGCACGGTTTGAATTTTGACGTTTGCCAATTCTGACGGTCATGTTAGTGAATGTACTTGCGTTGTTTTGCAAAAATGTACCCAAAAAATTAATGTCGTAGGAAAAGTATAGTATGCAGCAACACGCATGGTAAATTTTTGAAGTCATTTAATGCCGTTTACCACACTTGTTGCATAACATACTAATATCAATGTAGTTACAATATTTATAAATGATAATTACGCTTGGAAATGAAACATTACTATACTGTCTTCAAAAGCTTAAAAAGTCTTAAAAGCTGAAGTTTCGAAGATCGTCTTTCAAAACATCCGAATCCAATTTAAAATATGTAGGCAGATTATTAAATTGTTAATTGAAATTACGCAATACGATTCGATTAAAAGCACTTAAGATTATAAATTTCGGTATTAGCAGGCGAACTACTTTCTGTCTGGTAGATACGATTATTTAGAGTCGCAAAACGAATAATCTTGGATTTTGTCTGCGAAATCATATTGGTTTTACGTACTAGTTACTGCGTATGCAATACGTCCTTTTCACTAGAGTACTCGTGTGCCTTATCGGATTTTGTCTGAGCTTTTCAAAAATAATATACCTCTAACACAAAAGTTGACTACATATTGTCTATGGTTTGCTTCTGCTTTAGAGTTTAGAGCAATCTTTGCCAGGTTCTTTCCAAGAATAATGATTTCTTTAATAACACCCATTTGGTCTACTGGCATTTTATAAAAGTTTAAATACTTTACCTTGTTCTGAATAACATCGACGATGACATAGATCAATAGGACGATTTCCTGCTCATCGGATCCCATTAGAGGACCTTGCAGTCCAGCTGTGGCCACGTACAAAACACATATATGATGTGGTCCTATCATGTTTAGGCCTTGGATGCTCGTCCGCGTTCCGATAAAACCGCGCGTTTTTTTCAAAAAATCACTGCCACATTATAAATAATAACACGAATCCGCCATTTTGCCACGTGACACTCTTCAACAACCTGTCGGATTTAACCTACGATCCAACTTTGCAGAATCCGTTACGTCTTATAGCGTTGTTTGTTTTTGAAATATTTTTTTAACGATTTTAAGGTTGATAATAATTTTCAGATGTAGTTTTGAATCGGGCGTTATCTTATCTGATCCAGTCCGCTTAAAAATAAAATCACAGATACACGTTTATTTAACCTACGTTGGGCACAGAGTGCAACAAAAACACACAAAAAAACGGAGAAATCTTCATACTATCCCAACGGTCTTGTTTCGGTGGACGTATACGTGTATAAGGCGTATTATCGCCATCCAAGTGTCATTTCTGGCTACGAATTTCGTAGGTTAGGGATATTTTCGAACAGTTTTCACGCGCACACACGGCAAAACACAGTATCTCAACAGGTAAATCAGGTAGTACGCGGAACGATATCGACAGCGACTGTTATCAAATTTTATTAAACGCTCACAGCCTTCTTTGGAAATACATAATAATACAGCAGTGTCCGACTCGCCAGCGATATTTTTCGCGTTTACTTCGTTTACTTACAGGTACAGGTATTCCGTATTGTAGCCTCGATTTACCGGGGGGTCGGTTAGAGTTAGACTGGTTCTCTTACCTGGTCGTTCCGACCAATGAGAGCCGAGCACGGTCGGAACGCAAGGTAACTGTACCTATTCGAACCGCATATTCTATAGGTTATATAATTAGACGACTTTGTAAAGACAGGATGAATGCGGAGAGTCTTGCTGTACGCTGGCAACATGTTGATTCGTCTATATCGATTATTTTTCGTACCAAGTACTATTAAATGGTTCGCCAGTAAATTGTTTTCAGGTGGGTTTTGATACAGACACACGTTTTTACGGAAATTTATTTAAGTTTCATGAGCTGCAATTGAAAATTAACTGGAGTTATTGGTTTTCGAAACGTTAGTTATCAGTTTGAATGAACATTCTTCTTTAAACATTAGAGCACACCCCTTGAACATCCGAATGGTGATTTTATAGCGGACACCAAGATTTCCACTGATGAATGAAAAACTTAAACACATCATCGTCAGCCCCATAATGAAACCAAACATTAATTTGTTCAAAGTTATTAATCGGCTTAATAGCTACTTCAGTCATTCATTCGGCCCTTTACATAATTTGATCATAATGTTGAGTAAGCTGATATATTTTTCGACCCCATCATTATTATGTGTGTGACGCCACAGTTACTGCGGAAGTTCTTTGTTAAATTTAAGTTCCTGATATAATAAAATAATAACAGGTTTATTTTACAATAACAAATATTAGCAGCATACATTGCAGCATTGAATGTTTTAAAACAGTTGAACAGTTCCCATATATCCATCGTTAGTTCAGAATGAGTATGTCTATAATATATTAAAGAACACCAAGCAACGAAATTCCTTGAAACTTGAATTTTGTCTAGTTGTTCGAAATATTACGTTTACGAATTTTTTGAAAAGGTAATTCAAGTTCCACATGCATGCCAAATTTTAAATTGTTACTCCCGGTCGCTTTTTGTGCAACCAGTTTGATAAACTCCTTGTGTCGAATTTGATTTGACACTGAAACCCACAAGATAGGTTGGCCATAGAGATCGGATACGAACACAAAAGAAGTTATTCAATTATTCAAAGAGATAAATCCTGATTTACCACTTATATCGGAAAGTACAGTAAGCCAGATTGACAGTTTCTGTGCAAGAAAATCATCACGTGTCCACTAAGCAGATAGCTAAAGACCGGAGCTAGTCAGTTATCAGCGCATCCTAAAAAATGAACAGAAACTCACGGAAGATGATCCAGACAGAACTTTCGCGAAGAATGGATTGGAACTTCTTGTTTGCTGATGAGTCAATGTTTATGTCATTGTTGAATGGAATTAATTTTCCGAATTAAATAATATTTGATGTTTAAAACAAGGAACAAACGTCAAATTTTCAATTTCGGATTTTCGATTCATTGAATTTATTTATATAATGGAAATTGAGTTTGTACTCACAAATTGTCAGATATTAAATTCACAATGCCATATAGAATCTCGAATGAATACGATGTCGACCCACTAAGTGAAAAATGTCAAAAAATGTGAATAATATGTTAATTTACCTATTTTATGTACAATTTGTTAAAATAGTATCGATAGTAGATACACAAACTTATGAAATACCTCGAAGGATTAGATTTGTATGGTGTCGTCTCAAATTTTACCACGATTTCTTGAAACGATAAAGTCATAATTGGGTTATAAATCGCTCTTCTGTACTTTTAATATCGATTAAGATAAATGCGTTTTATAGAATGATAATTAAAAATACGTCTCAAGTTCCATGAGTACTTCAAAATTGCGCTCCAAAAGAGCATATTTGAAAATCAAATATGCAGGCAAATTGAAAAGCTGACTGGAATCAGAAGAAGAGAGATATGTACAATATAAGCAAGTAATTTAGCATTTTGAAATTCAAATAAGGCGAAGTCACCTCAGACACTTTGTAAATATGGATCAGGTTCGAGGTAAAGGGATCTTAAAGTAATACTAAAAAGGTTAATCCTATGCGCGCAGACCATATCGTATCGGTTCCAAGACGAACGTAAATGTGTTTTCTTGCTGAAAATTTTAAATTTTGATCGTCTAAATGATAATGCCTGTCTGACTATTTGATTTACGGAGGAAATTATCTTATCGTTTGAGATTTATTTACAGCGATGTTATTACTTTTAACGAATCTACATGCAGGAAGCGTGACGGTGATTTAATTTCGTTAAATGTTAATAAACTCTTCAAACTAAACTATATGGAATAGAGAACTGAACTTCTGAACTGAATGAGTAATTGTTATGCAGGAAAGAAAGTTGATGAAAAGCGAGAGAGTTTAGAAGAAGGAAAGGGAGAGTGTAGATCATGTAGGGAAGGGGAGGAAATCATCAAGTTGAGAGAGAGTGAAGAACAGAAAACAATATATGTTTTATAGAAGCACTGAATGCAAGGGAGAAAAAGGTGGAATGAATGCAGGAAGTGTGCACGAGAAGAGAAAGATAACTTGAATTAGGGAAAGGGAAAAAAAGGCAATAAATATTTTCTGCTCTTGTTGTTAATTTTTGTATTCTTATTATCATAGCAATGCTTGGCCAATTGCTTTGATTTGTAAATAGGAATCAAAAATCCGTAGAGAAGGAAGATTATCTCGGCCTTTTTAAGTAAAATTATATATATATATATATATATATATATATATATATATATATATATATATATATATATATATATATATATATATATATATATATATATATATATATATTTCAAAATGTACATGACAGCTTATACTTATACTTTTAAATCTCCATAAGAGTCAATCAAAAAAAATTAAATAAAAAAGTTGAATGAATGAAAGTGGACCATGCAATAAAAATAGTGACCATTATTACATGCACATCATCTAATTTCTAATTTTAAATATAACATCAGATAATTTAATGGTACGTTCCTATACTGAACCACTGCGTCTCTTAACTATTTTTAATCCTCGGTAATCGCCGTATGAGGTAAATGGAAACAAGCATAGAATATTTCCAAATTGATATTGAGAATTGACTTGTCGCTTACAGGTGGTCCAAAATTTAACAACCAATTACACCATTTCCAAGGCTGCAAAACTTGACACCGAATGGTTGTGTCTTCTTTCGTGACTTGTTATAAAGTTTTCTCGTTGCTTTATATTTTCTATCAACCGTCAATGAAATCGCCAACTCTATTAGATATTTTTGATGCAGTCGGTTTTATTTATTTATTTATTTTGTAGACCTTGGATTTTTCACGCCATCGTTGTATAAAAGAACTAGTGTACTCTAGAGTTGTACAAACTGGAGAGGAATTATGGAATTGGGTTGACGATGGGTTTGCTAATTTTAAACCAGGTGAATATCGAAGGTCGCTTACGCGAAATATGTACACACCTTCTGGATTTCTCCTGAGTTCAGTGTTGACTGTTTCGCTGAAGTTTCGCCAAACATCATGGTGGTTTCTTCAAAGGCCTGTCTGATACTGAAGAAGCTCTGCAGTATTCAGCAGCATGTTTAACGAAACGCCAACGTCTTGACGTTAGAGAAATCCAGAAGATATTTATCTACAAGTTCCTCAGCCTGCGCAAATCTCTTTAAAAAAGTTTTATTTAGTGTTTAAACCTCGATTTCAACCAAGCAAAAGTAGTATATCGCTATAAAAAAGAGCTATGTTTTCGCTTCTACAGTTAACAGCTTGCTAAGTTTCCTTGCATAATTTGCTACATATAATTCGAAAATAAATAATATGCAGTATGTGATGTTTACATTTTTTTTTTAAATATAGTCTATACAACACCACTAAAAACCACTACCTTTCTTTGCGAATCTACAAATTAAATAATAGAGAAAAATATCTGAACCACTAATCGCAAGAGTGTGGATTTTACTGATCAATTTTGCTATTTACATATGTATAATTTAAAACAAAATAAGAGACCTATGTGTAAGTGTATCAAACTTTGTAGATATCCATTCACCTCGTCTTTCACTAAACGCCAGTATTTATTTTACAAATTATGTTATCGGTGTAATGAGGCCAGCGAAACATAATTTCTTAATCGATAAAGGTCGGAAACATTTGATAACGGTAGAACTGCACATATTATGTAGTGCGTCATTTCTAGAATCATAATTTTTTCTACATTTTAATAAAAAGAATCCTATTGAAATTGGCTACACGATTAATTGTTTTATTTTAAGCACCTTTCCTGCATTACGATTATCTCTTTATGAAATTTGGTGATATTCTCGCCATAAGATTAATCAACCGAACTTAAAAACTAAAAAAATTGATTCGAATATTTTAGAAAATTTTATTTGTCATGTTTTAGGTCCTACCAATGGTTCCATCTGTTCTTCTGCCTTGTGTTTCCCGCGATTATTCCACAATTATTTTGGTGTGAACCATGGATGGTGTCAATTTTGGTCAATTCGTTTGTCATATACGTTTCGCTCTGAATAGTTAAGCAAATTATACATATGATGGAAAATTTTTCAGAAATGTATTTGTTAAAATGTCATTATCCTTTGTAAAAATGTGACATTACCAGTAGAACTGACAAAATGTCAAAACATAGTGGCTAAAATCTACGGAAAACATCCGATCGCTTCACTTTGCGCATGTTTAATCGGTACGGGTGGTTAGAATAAGGAGTAGAAAAACAATATTTCAAAATAGTTCCGTTTAATTAACCTCTAATCTCGATTACATGATTATTCGATAATATAAAAAATTGTTCATTAAACAAACTAAATTCAAGACTGTTTATGTAGCTCAATTTTTTCAGAACTTCCATTAGAGTCTTAATTTTTATCTGACCGAGAAAACTGATCGAATGATTCTGGGGGCGTGTAAGTAAGTAATCATCCTTCACAAAAATTCGTTGTTTCTACTTTTTTTCTAAAATTCACAAATCAGGATTGCCCCTTCCATCTATTGTTAACACCACATAGTTATAAGATATTGGCCCTAATACAGTAA